GTGACAACTGTGGCTAACAGACGCGTGACAGTAGGGTGCTCAGCACGAAACCGGTCAGACTCAGGGTCCGGAACGTCAGGCAGAGAGGACGCAGGGGGAGACGGCAGAGGAACAGACTGCGGAGCAGCTCTAGGACGAGGGACTACGAGGTGTGTGCCGGGGACAGCCGGCTGACGCGGACGAGGAACACGACGACCGGAACGACCAGAGGGGACAGGCGAGACAGGACGCGACGCAGGCTCACGACGCACAGCAGTAAGACCCCCAGTCTGCTCAGTGTAAGGAGAAGGAGCAGGCAGTGGGGAGCCAGGCTGTAACGGAAGACCAGTAGACGACGGTAGGCTAAGAACCTGGCGAGGCACAAAGTCAGGCGGTGGCGGGGACGACGAAGACGGCGGAGCGAAGAACAGTCTCGGCTGCGCCGCGGCACCAGCACCAGCAGCTCCAGCGGCCCCACCAGCACCTCCAGCGTCAGCTCCTCCAGGACCAGCTCCACCAGCAGCAGCACCCCCAGAACCTGAACCTCCAGTCCCAGGGTCTCCAACCGCAGTGTCTCCAGCAGCAGCACCCCCAGAACCGGCACCTCCTGTCCGAGGGTCTCCAGCCCCAGCGTCTCCACCAGCAGCACCCCTAGACACAGCACCTCCAGTACCAGCAGCTCCAGGACAGCCAGAAGACAAAGAGTCAGCAGAAGCACCTCCAGTGGCAGAGCCCCGAGCTCCAGCAGCGCGACCCTGACGGCGACCGTACCAGTCGTGCAGCTGCTGTGAGGTGAGAGGCACACGCGGACAAAGGCGGCCACTCCAAGGAGACCGCGCACCAGCAGTCGCAGTACCCTCAGGCGCCGCACCCCCAGACTCAGCACCCCCAGACTCCTCACGCACAGGCTCAGCACCCTCAGTCGTAGTACCTCCAGGCTCCTCACGCTCAGGCTCAGCACCCCCAGTCTCTGCACCCCCAGGGACAGCGCCGGCTCCAATGCCTCCAACACCAGCGCCCCCCGCAGCAGGGCCCCCAGCTCCAGCAGCTCGACCCTGACGGCCAACGTACCACTCACGCAGCTGCTGTGGGGAGAGAGGGAGTAGACGACGAGAGTGCAGCGGCGAGGCACCAGCGGAGCGACTACGGAGACGGCCGCTCCAGGGAGACTGCTCACCAGACGCCTCAGCGCCCCCAGGTGCAGCACCCCTAGACGCAGTACCCCCAAGCTCTGCACCCTCAGAATCCTCACGCCCAGGCTCAGCACCTCCAGGCTCCGCACCCTCAGGCTCCGCACCCCCAGGCTCAGCACCCCCAGGCTCCGCACCCCCAGGCTCAGTACCCCCAGAAGTAGCACCCCGAGCAGGACCACCCTCAGCAGGACCTGAGTCACCAGTGACCTCAACCGGCGCAGTCAAGGGAGGAGGGTCAACCTGAGACACACCTGAAGGAGCAGGACCGGGAGCGGGGAGGGGGTCTACCTGGGGAGCACCTGGAGCAAGGAAGAGCGGCGGGGGGGGGAGAGGGGCAGTGCGGTAGGGGAAGAGACGGTAAAAGGGAACCGACTCGTCGAACGTGACGTCCTGAGAGGGGAAGACACGGCGCGAGGTGGGGTGGTAAAATTGCCAACCAGGCGCGTCAGGGACAAAGCCAAGGAAGACACAGGGAACAGCGCGGGCGGAGAGCTTGTCCGCGGTGGTATCGCGGACAAAGGCACGAGCACCCCAGACCCAGAAACGCGACGCATCGCCAACCTCCCCCGTCCACAGCAGTGTGGGCGAGGTCTCCGGCAAGGAGACACGGGGCCAAAGGTTGAGCTGATGCGCAGCGTACCTGACCGCAAACGGCCACAGAAAATGGGGGGCAGCCGCATGGATCATGGAGGTACGAGCGACCTCCATGACTAAGCCAATGCGGCGCTCAGTAACCCCATTCTGCTGCAGAGAGGCCGGAAGCGTGAACGTCTGGCGGATGCCGTGCTCCGCACAGAAGGCTGCCAAGAGGTCTGAGGAGAACTCACCACCTCTGTCAGAGTGCAGACGCAGGACGGGAAACTCCGTCCCGAACCGCTTGCGGAGGTGGAGACGGGTAGCGCGGATCCAAGGGATCAAGACATCAGGGATTTCCCCTTTACGCTGCAAGGGGAAGACCGTGGTGTAATGCGTGTAGTCGTCGACGACCAGCAGGAAGTACCGCTCGTGGCCCGGTCCACGGACGCGGGCTGGGCCCCACACGTCCAGGTGGAGAGTCTGCAGGGGAGCCTCTGCAGGGGAGACTGCAACTGGCCGACTAAGCGGCGTGAGTGTGGTGCAGTCGCGAAAGAAGGAGCGGGAAGCACCTGAGTCAAGCGTGAAGGTGTACAAGGCCTCAGCAGGCGCAGTACCAGAGAGAGCAGACTCACCAGCACCTGGAGCAGGAGACGTACTAGCACCTAGAGCAGCAGCCTCACCAGCACCTAGAGCAGGAGACGCACTAGCACCTAGAGCAGCAGCCTCACCAGCACCTAGAGCAGCAGGCTCTATACCTGGGTCAGGCGGTACGCACAGGTAACAGGCACGGTCAGCACTAGTAGGCAACGCATACATGGCAGTGAGAATAGCATCATAGTCAAGAGCAAAGATATCTACCCTCTGTCCAAGCAGCTCTAGCCAGCTGGGGAGCTTAGCCGCGTCGCCAAACTCGGTACGCCAAACTCGGTACGCCAGACGGGAGAAGCAGCGGGACTGTGTGTGACCAAGCATCCCACAAGCCTGACCAGTCCGATCACCTGTGCGAATGACGTACGGGCAGCGAGCGATACTTCGAGACCCCCCACTCTGAGCGTACCACTTATCAAGCTGCTAGGGCGTAAGTGTCTCGCGCGGACGCCGCTGCAGCTGCAGCTGGCCACTACCAGACGCTCCCGACTGCCCAGCTCCAGGGCGACAGCCACGACGGCTACCGCCACAACCCCAACTAGCGTACCACTCACGAAGCTGCTGGGGCGTGAGGGACTCGCGCTGACGGCACTGGAGCTGCATCTGGCCACCGCCAGTAGCAGGACTAGCAGCAGGAGCAGTAGAAGGAGCAGGAGCAGCAGCAGCGCAGCAGTAAGGCAGGCAGGCAGGCAGGCAGGCAAGCAGGCAGGCAGGCAGGCAGGCAGGCAGGCATGCAGGCAGGCAGGCAGGCAGGCAGGCAGGCAGGCGGCGCGGCAGCGTGCTCACCGGTAGCGGGGAGGGCCGGCACTCGGCGGGCAGCGGGGCCGCAAACGTGGCTGCAGAGGAGGGCCACGTCAGCTGCAGGGCGGGGCCGCGTCGGCGGCAGGGCGGGGCCAGGCTGGGCCGCGTCGGTGGCAGGGCGGGGCCGCGACAACGGCAGGGCAGGTCCGCGTCAGTGGCAGGACGGGGCCGCGCCGTCAGCAGGGCGGGGCCGCTACCCGGCGGACGGTATGGGCGCCGTGACGGGCAGGCAGGTGGGCGGGCGCGGGCGTAGGGCAACGCGACGGGCAGGTAGGCGGCCGGGCGCGGGCTGGAGGGCGACGCGACGAGCAGGCAAATGGCCGGGCGCGGGCTGTGGGGCGACGCGACGGGCAAGCAGAGGGCCAGGCGCGGGCTTGGAGCAACGCGACGGGCAGGCAGGGGGCCGGGCGCGGGCTTAGGGCGACGCGACGGGCAGGCAGGCACGGGGCAGGCGCGGGCCGTAGGGCGACGCGACTGGCGAGCGGGGTCCAGGCGCGGGCTTGGGGCGAAGCGACGGGCAAGCGGGTGGGGCCGGGCGCGGGCTTAGGGCGACGCGACGGGCAGGCAAGGCAGGCGCGGGCTTATGGGCGCCGCGACGAGGCAGGCAAGTGGCCGGGCGCGGGCGTAGGGTAATGCGACGGGCAGGTAGGCGGCCGGGCGCGGGCCTGGGGCAACGCGACGGGCAAGTGGGTGGGGCCGGACGCGGGCTTAGGGCGACGCAACGGGCAGGCAAGGCAGGCGCGGGCCTTAGGGGCGGCGCCACAGGCAGGCAAGGCAGGGCGCGTGTGGGGCAGCGCGGTAACCGCAGGCATGCAGGCGTTCGGTGGGCCCAGGAATTTTTTTTTTTGGTCCTAACGGACGAACCGCTCTGAAACCATGTTAGAATACTAGGCAGGAATGGATGCATTGAAAGAAGGTTGGGTACAAGTAACAAACCCTAGAGGGGTTGTACCCCATATTGGCTACCCCACTACAGCCTACACAAGTATAACATATATAGTTTGACACACTGGTGATCCCCGTTTGATCCTAGGGAAGGGTTACAGGCATGTCGGCCTGGGGGGCTATGGGCGCACTCACCCGCTACACAAACAAGCCCTTTTATCCCAGTGGTTAGTGACTGAGATTCTGATATAGCATTCATACAATGAGTTTATATAGGTACAAAGGAATGCGAACGACCTATACTAGCCATGTACTCTAAGGGGTACATTCCCTTATTGTAGCAAAGTTAAAACCGTGCGGCGCGGGAACTAGTTTCGAACTTGTTCTTGCTCCTTTCACTTCAAATGTTAACTACCTGGATCAGTCTTAGTTTGACGGTTGCGGGTGTCTCTTCGATTCTTCTGACGCCTCGACTTCGTACTCGGTAGAGTCGGCTCCTACAGCATACAGGAATGACCTCATTAAATTTCATATCTTAACAGAATGGCTGTTTTTTTTTTAATATACTATACCGTAAGACATTCCTTGGCCTACATACAAAAATTCGTCCGATTCATATCTTTGAAGAGGATAGTTGTGATGGGCCGAAGCACCACACTTCAAAGCCCTAGAGAAACCCTTAGTTGTTTGAGCCTCAGACGGACCGCAAGTGGCCAGCCCGTTTTGAAGTAATTTGCCTACCAGAATTTGCAACGGTCGGTTCTTTTAAGCGCGCTGGCGCGGGCGAGGAAGTCCGCGGGCAGCTCCCTGCACACGGGGAATGCTGGAAACGCGCGGAGTGCGGGGAATGCCAGGAAAGCGAATCGGGGGAAAACGGGGGAGGAACGTACTCGATCGGGGGGAGTGAGCGCAGGAGGGATGCGGAGGAGCATTAGAGGCGGAGCGCGGGCCGGAAACACCGTGGGGGGAGTTGGCGCGACGGGGGGAATCGGGAAGAAGCGGAAGCGCGGGGGGAAACAGCAGATGGGGGCAGCGCGGAAGACGGGCGGAGGGCGGGTGGGAAGCGCAGTAAGCGCGCGCAGGGGGGACGTAAATGGCGCGCAAGGAGGGAGCGATGGGGGGAAGGGCGCGCTGGGGCGGGGAGTGGGCGCGGAGGGAACAAGGAGGGAGGCCGATACGGGAAAGGGGAAGGCGGAGAAAGGTGGCGTGATCGGGGGAGGGGAAGGGGAAAGGGTGGCAGAGGGGAGGGGGGAAGGTGTGGGAACGGCGGGGAAAGAGGATGAGGGGGGCTTAAGGGGGGAAAGGAGAGAGGGGGAGGGGAAGGCGGCTGGGGAGATGGGGGAAACGGAGTCAGACGGGGCAGCGGAAGGGGAGGGCACCGAGGGAGGAGAAGGAGCAGAAGGGGGAGAGGCGGGCAAGGATGGACAGGAGGTGGGAAGAAGGGTGGTGGTGATGAGTGACGTGAGCGGGGAGGAGGGCGGCAGTAGTGGCGGGGGCAGCGGGTCGTTGGGTTTGAACTCGGGCTCAGATGGGGGGGAGGAGCGGTCGGAGGATGGCAGTGATGCTGTGAGGATGGCGGATGAGAGTGGTGCGAGTGAGAGTGAGAGTGAGAGTGAGAGTGAGAGTGATTGTGAGGGGAGTGAGAGTGAAGGGAGTGAGAGTGAGGGGAGCGGGAGTGAAGAGAGTGAGGATGGAGAGGAAATGGAGGAGGGAGAGGAGAGGGATGGCAGCAAGGAAGGCGAGGGTCAAGAGGCGGACGGGGCGGGGGTGGGCGCGACAGGAGAGGAGTGGTTCCGCCACGTGGTGGCGGACGGGGGGGAAGAGGCGGAGGGGGAGGCGGAGGGGGAGGGGGGCGCAGGGGGGGGCGCGGAGGGGGGAGGCGCAGGCACTAAGACAGTGCTGAATGCAACGGCGGCAACGGCGAGGAAACGAGCGAGGAAGGCCGAGCAGAAGGAGCGAGAGGAGAAGCTGGGGAAGGCCAAGGCAGACAAACTGAGAGCGAGAACACAAAGGGCGGAGGAGAGGCGGCGGCGGGCGGAGAAAGAGCGGTTTGAGGCGGAGCAGAGGGATGCAAAGCGGCGGAGAGTGGTGCGGGAGCAGGAGGCGGCGCAGGAGAGGCGAGAGGCGAGGCAGGAGCGGCGCGTGCAGGGCATGCAGAAGGCCCTTCTGAAGCTTCTCAAGAAGCTGGCCGCTGGTGGCGGGGGAGGGGGCAGTGTGGGGGGAGGGGGCTGTGTGGGGGGAGGGGGCTGTGTGGGGGGAGGGGGGTTTGGGGAGAAGGGCGGTGGGGGGGGGGAGTGGGAGGTGGTGAGTCGCGTGCATGCGATGGCGCATGGCGTGGCGGATGGCAGCCTGGAGAAGGTGCTGCTGGGGGAGGGCGAGAGCAAGGGCAAGGGCGCACAGAGGCTGCCGCTGCAAGCCAGGATCCAAGTGAACGCGTGAGTGGTGGTGGTGGTGGGTGCACGTGACCGGCAGTTGCTGGGCGAATGGTTGTTTCGAAGGCTGCAGATGGTCGGCAAATGTGGTCATGTGATGTGATTTGCACACGCATAGCAGCAGTAAGAGCACTCCGCGCTTAGTCCGCATGGTCCTTGCCATCCTGCTTCTACACTCCGTGCTCTCATCCATCCAAGTGAACGCGTGAGTAATCTCTTTTCGTCCTCTCATCCATCCATTCCCCATCTTCCACTTGTATCTCATCCCACCACACAGCACCGCTCGCTCTGCCACAGCCATTCTGTTCCCGGACGAGGCAGTGGTGGTGGAGGGGCACGTGCACGTCACACTGCTGCACGGCGCTGCCTCTGTGCACGGCTTCGCCCTGCCCCTGCACCGCCCCACCGCCCTCTCTGCTGACGCCACCCTCTCCTCCGCCGTGCTGCTCCACGTTGCCCCGCCTCCCCAACATGCTCCCCCTGCTGCCCCTCCTACCGCTGCTGCTTCTGGTTCTGCTCCTGCGGGTGCTGCTGCTGCTGTGAGTGTGGCTGCTGCTGCAGCTTCTGAGCCTGCTGCCGCTGCACAAACTGCAGTGGTTGCAGTGACTGGGGAAGCAGGGACTGGCGCTACAGACGCACAACAGGGAGGGAAGGTAGGGGAAGGGGTGGCGGCGGTGGGGAAGGGCGGGGGAAGGGCGGACGCAGGTGCAGGGGGGAAGGGCGTGAGGCTGACGAAGAAGCAGAAGAAGGAGGCAGCGAAGGCAGCAGCGGAGGCAGAGGCGGAGAGGAAACGGCGGGAGAAGGCGGAGCGGGGGTGGCGCACAGACGTGCAGGGCATGGCTGTGGTGCTCTTCCAGTCCTGGGGGCACGGTCAGCTGGGGTTGGGTGCGGTGGAGGAGGGTGCTGCTGGGGGTGGTGCAGTGGGGGATGGTGGAGTGGAGCAAGGGAAGAATGGGAGGAAGGGGAAGAAGGGGGGGGCGGTGGGGGGTGGGGGAGTTGAGGATGTGATGGCTGCGACAGAAGCAGCGAAGGATTGGAGAGTCACGGCCAACTTCACATTCCGACTGCTGGTGAGCGAGGTGGGCAGGTGAGAGAGGTGAGGGTGGGAGATTGGTGAGTGAGAGAAGAGAGTCAGAGTGGGGAGCGGGTTCTTGGTGGGGGAATGTGGCTCTTGGTGAGAGGAGGGTGGTGGTGGAAGATTGAGTTGATGGTAATCTGTAACCACCATGCCTGCCACCACCATGCCTGTCACCACCATGCCTGTCACCACCATGCCTGTCACCACCATGCCTGTCACCACCATGCCTGCCACCACCATGCCTGTCACCACCATGCCTGTCACCACCATGCCTGTCACCACCATGCCTGTCACCACCATGCCTGTCACCACCACTATGACCCCTACTGTCGTCCTCATCCCCTTAGCATCGCTCTGTCATTCTCATAATCCCCTTCCTCTTGCTGCCCTCTTCCCCAAACCCCGCCTGACAAGCTGAGGGGGTGGGGCGACCCCCCCCCCCCCCCCGGCGCTCACTTACAGTGTGCCCGTCCTATGCCTCTCCAACCGCTCGCCTCATGGCCCCCCCCGCTCCCCAGGGGCCGAGCATACAGCTGCTGAAGCTGAGAGATGTGGGGCGGCTGAGGAAACTGCAACAGGCGGCCTTCCTTTGCAGTGTGCACGCCCACAAAATGCCTTCCCGCAACCTCTCCACTCTTCCCCACCCCACCACCTGCCTGCCCCACAAATCCCCACCCAGGAGCTGAGCACACCACTGCTGAGGCTGAGAGATGTGGGCCGGCTAAGAAAGCCTCTCAGGCAGCCTTAATGTCTGCATGCTGCACACTCACAGAGTGCCCTCCCTCACCAACCCCCCGGCTTCCCACACCTGCCTCACACCACCACCCCACCCAGGAGCCAAGCACGCCACTGCTGAGGCTGAGGGATGTGGGGCGGCTAAAAAAACCACTCCAGGCCGCCTTTCTGTGCGGCCTGCACACCCACCGAGTGCCGCCCCGGGGGCATGGGCAAGGAGGGCAGGGGCTGGGGGGAGGGGGAGGTGGGGGGAGAGTCAGGGGGAAGAAGGGGGGAAAGCGGTATGAGGGGGACCGTGGAGCTTGGGAGGCGTTCTCGTGGACCCCTCCTAAGGGGAAGAAAGGGGGCGGGGGTGGGGGAGGGGGAGGTGGAGGAGGAGGCGGAGGGGGAGATGGGGGGGGGAGGGGGAGGCGGAGGAGGGGGAGGCAGAGGAGGGGGAGGGAGAGGGGGAGGGGTAGGGGGGGGGAAGGGGGAGGCGGAGAAGGAGGAGGGCAGCAGGCAGCAGGGCCGTGGAGGCAGGAGGGGCGGGTGCTGACAAACTCAGAGATGAAGGGGTGGGAGGCGGTGCGGTGCGATGTGGTGAGCCGCGAGTGGGAGGAGGCGGGGCGCTCTGTGGTGGGCGGGAGGAAGCGGAGCAAGAGGCGGGCGCGGGGGGGAGGTGCGCGTGCCCATTGTGATGGTGGTGGGGGGCGTGAACACTGGCAAGTCAACGTTTGCCAAGTTTCTGGTCAACCACATGCTGGGCAGGTATGGGTGGTCAACCACATGCTGGGTACGGTATGCTTGACATTTGCTTTGCGCCTCATTAGGAGGTTGGGGGGGATAGGTGTGTGCGGCCATACTGATTGGTAGGGGGGGTGAACACTGGCAAGTCTACGTTTGCCGAATTTCTAGTCAACCACATGCTGGGCTGGTATGGGTAATCAACCACATGCTGGGCAGGTATGGGTGGTCAACCACATGCTGGGCAGGTATGGGTAATCAACCACATGCTGGGCAGGTATGGGTGGTCAGCTACGTGGTGCTGTACATGTGGTGAAGCGACTGACCTCTGCCATATGTGCTGCGTGCGGGCATGAATGCATGCACGCTGTCACTTGGATCCCTTTCACCTCCCGCTTCCCCAGGTGCTCTGCCACTCCTCTCCTCACCACCTCTCCCCCGCTTTCCACTGCTCCCCCACCTGCGCCACTTCCACTCTCCCATCCAACTCCCCTCCTTCCCTGCCCCTTTTTCTCCCCTCCGTCCCATCAGGCATCCCTGTGTGGCCTTCCTCGACACGGACGTGGGGCAGCCCGAGTTCACTCCACCTGGGCTCGTTTCGCTGCACCTCCTCTCCCACCCCGTCTTCGGTAGGCACTTCCGCTCCTCTCCGTCACCTCCTCTCCATCCCTTCTTCACCCACAAACCCCTCCTCTAAACACACCGTTTACTCCGCCACCTTAAACCCCACCTTAAGCTACCTGTATGGCGACATCAGCCCGCCCTCCCCTCCCTACCCCGCCCCCCTCTCTCCGTCCCCCCTGCCCCCTTGTTACATTCCCGCTGCCCCCCAACCACTACAGGCCACCCCGCGCTGCACCAGCGCACCCCCGTTGCAAGCCATCTGTACGGCGACATCAGCCCTGGCAGCGATCCCGCGCTGTACTTGCGGCAGCTCTTCTCTCTCTACGACTGCTTCAGACAGAACTATTATGACGGGCATGGGGCGGCAGCGCTGCCACTGGTGATCAACACACATGGATGGATCAAGGGTGAGTGATGAAAGGTGATTGGCTCCGGCACTGTGGCTGACCCCGTTCTGTCTGACTCCACGCTCCTCCTTTCCTGCCATCCTCCCCTGCCTCCCTGCTCTTCCCTCCACTCACGTTTTCTCTGTATAAACCCTCTTCCCCCTGCTTCCTACCTGCCCTACCCTTGTTGCAACCGTCTTGCAGGCATAGGGTACGACGCTCTGGTGGATCTCATCCGTTACGTGGCGCCCACACACGTCATCTCTCTGCTTGCTCCTGACGCAGCGGACAACCTGCCTGCCGGCCACTTCTGGCAGCCGGGGGGGTTCGCCCCCGAGGACATCAACCCCAACATGACGCCCCTGGGGGGCGTGGGGGGCGGTGGGGAGGGCGCCGGGGGGATGGCGGGAGAGTGGGATGGGGAGGGGGTGGGGGGGGATGTGGTGGGGATGGGTGGGGGTGGGGGGGGTGGGGGAGGACAAGGTGGGGGAGGACAAGGTGGGGGAGGACAAGGTGGGGGGTTTGGGAGGGAGGAGGAGGGCAGGACGGGGGAGGAGAGGGAGTGGAAGCAGCAGCAGGAGCAGCAGCAGGGCAGGGGGCGGCAGGGGCAGCAGGGGCAGCAGGGGCAGCAGGGGCAGCAGTGCGCACGTTGTTAATCACAATCACGTCACTGTCTGCCAGCGCTGGGCCTGGCGTGAGGTGAGTCGTGGGGAAGAGGAAGAGGGGGGTAGAAGCGGAGCGATGAGGGGGGCAGGGAAGGTAGAAGGACGAGGAGAGGGAAAAATACGAAGCGCAATGGAGGGTGACAGTGGGCAGGACTGCAAGAAATCAAAGCAGGTGCCCTCTTGATCCACGAAACAGTGACATCCCCATCCCCACAGAATCGTCTATTCGGTTCATTACTCCCCTTCCGTCCCCCCTCCCTGGCCCCACCCCCTCTCCCTCTCTTCAAAAGGAGGTGGCCTTATGATCCACAAAACGTCCACAACAATGCCACCATTTGTTTGCCTCCAACGCATCCCCACTCTCCCCACACACCCTCTCCCTTTCCCCTCTCCCCCTCCCCCTCCTCCTCCCTCTCTGCCCTCCCCTGCCCCCTTCCCCGTCCCCGTCCCCCCTCTCCTTCCCCGAGTGGCACACGAGCATCGCAGTTAGCAGGTGCTAGCAGCCATCCGCCATGCCCTCTCCCCCTCCTGCCAATTCTTTCCTCCAACCCCACTTACCCCCAACACCCCCGCCCTCTCTGTCCCCTCCCCCCCCTCCCGCGCCCCCCTCCTCCCTCCCCTCTCCCTCTCCCTCTCCCTCTCCCTCTCCCACCCCACGTTTTCCTTCTTCTCACCCTCTCACCTCCCAGCAACTCCTACCGAGTGGCGCACAAGCATCGCAGCCTGCGGGTGCTAGCAGCCATCAGCCATTTGAGATGCCACATATCCCCACACACAGTCCTTCCCACCTTCCCCGTCCTCCCCCACCCCCTTCTTCACCTCTCCCCTCCCTCCAGCAACTCCTACCGGGTGGCCCATGAACATCGCAGTCTGCGCGTGCTAGCAGCCATCCGCCATGCCCTCTCTCCCGCCCGCCGCCTTGCCCTCTACAAGCTCGCCCGCCACATTCCCCCCCACCCCGCCCCACTTACCACCACCGCCCCCTCTTCCACCACCCTTCCCTCTTCCCCTGCCGCCCCCCCTGCTTCCTGCCCTCCTGCACGCCCCTTGCCCTCGCGCCCCTCGCCCGCCCTCCCCGCACCCATCTTTCTGTTCCCGTTTGACGAGCGCTGGGAGATGGCGCGCTGTGCGCGCCTGCTGGCGTGGCGGGCGCCCTTTGAAGTGGACCTGGGGGACCTGCACGTGGGCTGTGCGCATGGCGAGGTGAGAGCAGGGGCAGGTGGGTAGAACAGCTACTACAGCTCGTCACTGCGGTAGCATTCAGTCAACCACAGCTTGCCGTTAAATCATAGCATTGCGTGGCGGGGCCCTTGCAGCTGGCGGAGCTGTTACATCATACCATTGCACCATTTCCTCTCACTTACCTCCTCTCCTCCCACCCCCCCTCAACCTCTCCCCCGCCCCCTCCTGCCACCTCCCCCCTGCACCCGTCCCCCGAGCTACATGCCTCACTACCCTCAACGCTTCATTCCCCTCCTCCCTTCAACCTCCACCCTCCTTCCCCCCCACCCCCTCGTGGCGCCATTCCCAGCAGCTGTTCCCCAGTGGCACACTCATCACCCCATTCCCCTCCTTCCTTTTCTCTCTCCCCCACTCTTCCTCCTTGCACTGTTTCCCCCCACAGCTGTCCCCCGCCAACACGCTCATCGCCCTCAACGCCGCCATCGTCGGCCTCTGCTCCTCCTCCCCTCCGCTCCTCCCCTCCCTGCCTCCTCCGCCCTCCCTGTCCGTTGACCCCTCCACCTCTGCTCATGCTGCTGCAAATAGTGCTGCTCCAACAGCAGCAGCACCATCAGCAGCACCACTAGAAGCAGCAGCAGCAACTGATGCAGCAGCAGCAGCACCAGAAATCGACATGGCAGAAGCAGCCGCAGCAGGAGAAAGCGACTCAGCAGCAGTGCCCCCGGCAGTGCCAGGCTTCCCACGTGTGGTTTGGAACCCCCAGGAAGCTGCGCTCCTGCCCTGCCTCTCCTTCGGTACTGCCGCCCCTGCCCTCACACACTCCCCACCACCCTTCACATCATTCCATAACATTCCATGACTCTTCCACTCGGGCCGGCCTCCTGCAGTTGACTCTCACCCACCTGTCTAGATACCCCTGCTCCATGCATTCTCACTGCTCCATGCATTCTCACTGCTCCATGCATTCTCACTGCTCCATGCATTCTCACTGCTCCATGCATTCTCACTGCTCCCGTCTCTCTCATCATGCATGCCTATGCCCGCCAACAGGTGTGGTGAGGGGGGTGGACGCCAGCAGGGGTGTGGTATGAGGTGGACGGTGTCTCTATGCCCCTTCACACTCTCGCGTTCTCTCCACTCTTCTCGGTGCCTGTTGTCCATATCTTGTCCACCAGGTGTGGTGAGGGGCGTGGACGCCAGCAGGGGAGTGGCACACGTGGTGGCGCCGCTACCACTAGCCCGTATGCATCATGTTGACACACTCCTCATCTCGCACCTCCACCTGCCCTCGCCACTGCTGCTGGTGAGTCTTTGAGCTATACTTCTCATTCACACGGGGTGGCGCCGTTACTACCGCTAGCCCGCTATCATGTCGACACACTCCTCATCTCACACCTTCACCTGCCCTCGCCACTGCTCCTGGTGAGCCCCTTCCTCAGTCCCCCTTTCCTAGTGTTTCCCACCTACTCCTTTCTGCACCTGCACCTGCCCTCGCCCCTCCTGATGTCACCCCTGTACCTCTGTTCCCACTCCTTTGCCAATGCCACCCACGCCTTGTCATATATTCCCCTCGCTCTCTTCTCCTCTCCCCTCCTCTCGCACATTCACTGGGAATGATCTGGTGTCCCCATACCTTTGCTTCCACACTCTCGCTGATGCCACTCCCAACTTGTGTGCTCCCCTCTCTCCTACCTGTTTCCCCCCTCACCACCCAACACGCGCCCCCCCTTCCCCCCCTCCTCCCCTCTCTCTCTTTCCCCTCCTCCCTCCAGTGCAACGGTCTTGCCGTACCTTTGTTTCCACGCTCTCGCTGATGCCTCTCCCACCTTGCTGTCTCCCCCTTTCTCTCCCCCTTTCTTCCTATTCTCACCTTTTCCCACCCCCCCCAACCACTCAGTGCAACGACCTGGTGTCGCCATACCTCTGCTTCCACTCGCTCGCCGATGCCACTCTGGGCGCCAAGGAGCTGCCCATCAGAGAGGTCAAGCGTTGATGAGCAGTGAAGTGTGGTGAAGACAGATGAAGTGCGGTGAAGTGGTGAGGCAATGATGACAGGCACGTTGGCGCTTTGGGGGGAGACCATGGACAGTGAGGACGTCATATCTACCTCATTGCCGCTTCTACTAGCCATAAGCCTGATCCCCTTAGTACCATGCTGCCGTCCTGGCATGTGGTACATTCGAGCGACGGCAGTTGCTGAAGTGCTGCGGCAGCAGCCGACTTGGTCAAATCGCGGCGCGCGGCAGCGTTCGAGTAGCCTTGTCGCTCCGCCAGGCGGCATCCGCCGCGTTTCGCCTACTAGTGCCGGCGAGCCGCGGCGCCGATACAAGGATCTGAGTCGTGCACGTTCTTAATAGTGTCGATTCAAGCTGCCATGGCGGCTACGAGCTTAAAAGGTTCGCAGAAACGACTTAATAGTAATTAAAGCACGAATATTTGCACTGCCCGCGGCTGCTGGAAATCGGATTATCAAAATCACGCGCTGCTGCTCAAGAGTTCCACGCCGCCGCCTGCTCTAGAGTTTGCTCGGTGGAATTAAGATTGCCGTCATCTGGGATCGCCACGAACGACCCACTGCCAATGTAACAACCGCGGCCCTTATAACAACGGGCAACCGTGTGTTTAATATAAATCCTCTTTGACAAGATATACAAAATCAAGATACAAGGCTTTCAAGATTTAACTAATCCCACCAAGGGATAAACTAGCCTTGATAATACTCTTAATGCTTGAGACAAGAAAGAGAGCTTGAAGAAGGTTGATGAAGCTTTAGCAAGTAAGTACCGTAGGTAGCTTCTTGTAGAGCTTGTCTTTGAAGTAAACACAATTCTAGTTGTGTAGGAGAGCTTGTTAGGAGATGTCAGAGGTCCACTGGAGATCCCCGATTGATCCTAGGGAAGGGTTACAGGCACGGCGGCCTGGGGGGTTATGGGCGCACTCACCCGCTACACAAACAAGCCCTTTTATCCCAGTGGTTAGTGGCTGGGATTCTGACAGGAGAACCAAAAATGACTTAGAGAAATCCCATTTCCGAGTTTGTTTGTTGGAATTGGGAAGTGGGAATGAGCTTCAAAGCTCCAACCCCTTCCACAATACCCCCTTAGGGCTCTTCTCAACCATGGCTTCCATGGTTGGGGAGCAAATAGGCTTGGAGCCTAGGTGGCATCTTTGTTTGCTTGGGAAAACCCAACTTAATACCGTATTACCCCGGATAAAAGCGCAGGTGCGCTTATAATAAATCAGTGTTTTTTAGGGGGGTGCGCTTATAATTGAGTCGTTTGTATAAGCGCATGCGCTTATAAAATGACAAGTATAGATTTATAATATTTGAACACCAAACAGTAGATCTCGTGCAGGCTTTTTCAATCGAGTCGAAGTTACATGGGGTCGTGAGTGAAATTCTCGCGCGGCTGGCAGATACAGTCGATGTGACTGACAAGGCGCCCCTGACAGCTCATGCTGACTGGACTCGAATTCTGTGCAGGGTTCGAATGTGAGGAGAACCGAATTTGCAACACATCCACCTGCTAAAGGGAAAACCGTTACAGTATTTGCACACATTTTTATTGTGGAATTTAACATGCGCTTATAATAAATCAAGTTTTTTTAGGGGGTGCGCTTATAATTGAGGATCGGCCATAAGCGCATTGCTCCAGATAGAAGCGCATGCGCTTTTAATAGGCCTGCGCTTATATCCGGGGCCATACGGTAGATTTGTATGGGTGTTTTGTTGTTTGGTTGGATTGTAACAACAACTGGCACAATGTGATTGGTTGGAAATCCAACCTTTCCAATCTTCACTTTGATGGGTTTGAAGTTTCCAAGCCTCAAAGTTTGAGGGTTGGAAATGCCAAACCAATCTTCCCCTCCAACTCAACCTTCCCGATTCCTTTCGCGTAATTTCTCATCGAGCATTCTCTCGATGTTGACTTAGGAACTCGCGGTAGTTAGGTAGAGTAGGCTATGCGTTACACTCCTCCCCCCTTAGGTGGCAACGTCCCCGTTGCTTTAGGGTGCTTCTGAGGACGAATGCTTCGAGCACGCCGTGTCACATTACGACCAGGGTCAACACCATCCACTGGCTGTTCGATTGCTCGTTGGGCCAGATCTACCATGTATGACTGAACTGCAGTTTCAGTCAAATGCTCTTCTGGCTCCCATGAGTTGTGTTCAGGCACATAACCTTTCCACTTGATGAGGAACTCTCGTACTGTCTTGCGGCCGCGTTGTCGATCACGATGCATCAGCACTCGTTCGACTTCATAAAACAGTTCCTCCCCCAGTACGATCGTTGGTGGCGGCAAGGACTTGCCCTCTGCAACATACTTGTTCAACAGAGACACATGGAAGACGTTGTGAATCTGCAATGTATCAGGCAGCTTAAGCTTGTAAGCGACCACACCAACACGCCTGATCACCTCGAAAGGCCCAATCCATCGAGGGAGCAGCTTTCGTGCTCCAGGGATTTTGAGACGAATGTTTTTCGTGCTCAACAAAACTTTGTCTCCGACCTCAAAAGAGACTTCCCGGCGTTTCATGTAGGCGTAAGACTTTTGTCGCTGCTGAGAGAGTTGCAGCCAATGGCGAGCAGACATAAGCGCTTCTTGCTGCTTGCCAACCAAGTCTTTGGCGGCTGGAATTTTCAATCCACCGATCCCATGCGTAGCAGGTGTTGTGGGATGCCGACCACAGTTCAGGATAAATGGTTTTTCACGTGTACCCTCGTGCACTGAATTGTTCACTGCGAACTCAACGACAGGTAACAATTCATCCCAATCATCCTGCGTTGGGCCAATGAATGAACGAAGCATCTGCGTTGTTCCGCCTGCCCATCCGTTTGTGGGTGGAACGCTGAGGACATCTTAAGCTTCGTTCCTAGTGTCTGTGTAACCTCTTGCCAGAACCGGCTTGTGAAGCGCGGGTCTCGGTCAGACACCAAGACACGTGGTAACCCATGTAAGCGAAAAACGTGCGCCACAAACAACTTGGCCGTATCCACCGCAGATACGTCAGTTGTCGTAGCCACGAAATGCACCATTTTTGTCAGACGATCCACAAACACTAGGATCGCTGTATGGCCATCGCGGATCTTGGGGAGATCCGTGATAAAATCCAAAGATACGCTCTCCCAAGGTTCATTCGGGATTTCGAGTGGTTGAAGCAGACCACCAGGCTTCTTTGTGTCCGTCTTATTTCGCGCGCATGCATCGCATCGCGCCACGAATTGCTTGCGGAGATAACTACTGCAACAGGAGCTAGACTACGGGCTAGGCACGGAGCTTGAGTGATCTCTGTGTTCGTTCGTTCCTTAGTTGCTTCCAAGTGCTCACACTACTTGCTAGTTCACAGGGAGAATTGGCAAGAGTTTCACTAGGAAAGGTTGACAATAATGGTACAATGAAGTTGGCAAGACTAGACTACATCAGAGCTAGCATGCAAGCAAGTCTACTGCCAGCGCAGCACGGTCGACCGCATGCCAGCACGACTTGGTCGACCGCGCTCCAGCAGTGCAGAGTCGCGGCTTGCCAATGCTGCAAGTCGACGGCGTGCCAACGTCGCAGGTTGACGGCGTGCCAACGTTGCTCCCGCAGGACAGCAGCGCACCTGCTTCGCAGATGCTCACTGATGATTGGCGTGCAGTGCCTCGTCACCTGCACAGCGCACACACCAAGTCAACCTTGTGCTGACGACTGCTTCTGATCAGCCACGTCGACCTCGGGATACCACAATCGAGGTCGTCCTTGCCAACGTCGCCCAGGCGACCGTCGCGTGCCTTCGCAGAACCTCGTCACCCTGGAATCCTGGTCAACCTGGCAACCACGTCGACCAGCTGCTCCTGCGCGTGCCCGTCGACCACCCAGGTCGACGACCACTTCCAGTCGACCTTGTCACGTCGACCACACTCTTCGTCGACCAGCTCCAGGTCGACGTCACTCCTGGTCGACCAGCTCCTCGTCGACCAGCACAGTTGTCAGCCGACCCCAAAGTCGGCTACCCGAAGTCGGCGTCACCAAGTCGACGCCCTGCCACTCGACGTCCTGATCCCTCTGTCGAGGTCGATGTCGGCCCCTCCTTTGTCGACCACATGTTCGGTCGACCACCAGGTCGACATCACGCCTGGTCGACCAGCCACCAAGTCGACCAGCAGGCCTGGTCGACCAACCACCAGGTCGACCAGCAGTCCTGTCAGCCGACCACCCAAGTCGGCTGCCCCAAGTTGGCGTCACCAAGTCGACGCCCTCCGCAGGTCGACTTCCCAGGTCGACCTCCCTGAAGTCGGCGCCATCCTGAAGTCGGCGCCCATGCAGTGGCACCCGTGCAGGTCGACTTCCTCGTCGACCAGCTCGCCCACTGCTGCAGGTCGGCTGCACCCCTACACCCGACCACGAAGTCGGCTCCGCCCAAGCGAGGACGAGGCCAACACACAACTCCCGTTGACACTCCCCTGCCGCGTTCACGCTTGGGCCCCCAGCCCACATGGCAGTATTTCTCGGAGAAAAGCTCGTCGACGTGCACCCAACACACAGCACGTCGTCCACCGCACCAGCCATGCAAAAGGGCATGGCACCTACTGCTGCACGTCGTTGTCGCCGTCGCCGACTTCGGCCAGGCGCACTTGGCCGATCGCGACGGAGCACCGGTTGAAGGCCGGGTAGTGCAGCGCCTTCGTCAGGAAGTCGGCTGGCTGCTCGGTGGTCGGGATGTGTCAAGATAGTAGGTATACTTAGGAGCCATAGCTAGGGTTTACCTAGCTAGGCAAGAGAGAATGAAGCAAAGGAGGGTTTGCACTAGCAACAATGGTGGTACAAATAGCTAACCCTAGAAGGGTTGTACTCGCTATAGAGCACCCCACTGCAGGCTAGAGCATAATATTCTGACACACCCCCATAGTCAAAGTGGGGTGTAATCAGCAGAGCAAGCAAAGCAGTACAAGCTCAGGGTGGATCACGATGTCACCACACATTCTGAGCACAAGCAAGAAGCAATAGTTTA